ACATCGTGCTAGGGAAAGGAGGTAGGTATTGTGATTTTTTAGCTTTTGGAAGTTCTTGGCAAATTATTGCCTATAGATAAACGAGTTTTGGTAGAGTGTTGTTCGACATATTTGAATGAAAGGATGCGCTGACTGAGTTTGTCGGTCCTGGCTGTTATTGATAGTGATGAAATGATAGCACAGATATCCCGCGGAATATTGAAGAGTGATTAGTCTTAAATGAATTATATAACTCATTCTCGTATTTTCACGTACTTAATGATTAATTGAATGAAATGCTGTGATTGGCTGCCTGATGCCGTGATGCCGGTAATGATTCTCTCAATATATATCGAGCGCTGTGATTGGTTGCCTGATGCCGTGATGCCGGTAATGATTCTCTCAATATATATCTACTTTAAGGAATTCTTTTTTTTTGGCATCTTTCTTTTTCAAAAAGGTCCTGGCGCCCACAAAAATTTAACGTATCTTGACCTATCTCAATATAACTTAACTAACATATCTTATCTTAAATAATAACCTTGTAATTAACTTATCTCATCAAAGAGGTATTAGCGCAATTTTCTGATAAATTGGCCAATAAAGGGAATTCTCACACCAGACGAAGATCCTTACCCCGATCCTCCCGTATCAATTCTGAGCAGCCCAAAGGCAAGAGCAATAAAAGCTCCACAAACCTCTTTTAGTATTTTCGAATATAAAAAGGGAGTTACATATTTCAGTGGAAGATTTTCTCACCGAATACCACTTTAGCTTCAATTAATATCCAGGAATTCTTTCTCAAACAGGAATATTTAGAAAATTTTCCCTCGTCTGGAGAGATTATACACACCATAGATAAACACTGTAAATGGCATGAGAGGCAACGACTTTCGAGGTGTGAATGTGTTTCAACAGATGTCGCTGTCTATCGCGGATAGAATGTTGAAGCTGTAGTAAAATCGATATTTACTACGTCCATTCACAGGTATTTACATCGTTGCCAAGACTCCTAATATATTGGTAGTGCTAATTTATTATATCTGAGATGACCGAGACGATGATTATTTTAAAGGCGAATTTGGATTCACGACGTGACTACTTAAAAATATTAACATTTATTTATGAAATACGAATGATAATCAATTTATATTTCGAAATTACGAATTATCTAGGTACTCTAATTATCTATATAAAAGTGAGTCCAATATATTTGATTATTTTCGGATTTGTCTTAGTCCGGAATGGGATAATAAGTATTAAAATTCGTGAAAATTAGAAAATTCAAGATGGCGGATCCGATATGACGGACGAGTTTTGTAATCATGATCCGATTCTATTCAATATTTGTATCAGGGGGTTTGCGGGGTCGGAGATTATGATTCTCCGACAAAATTAGAGAATTCAAGATGGCGGAACCAATATGGCGGACAAGTTTTTTAATATTATGATCCGATTCTATTCAAAATTGGTATCTGGAGGTTTTTGGGGTCGAAGATTATGATCCTTTGGTCAAAATAAAGAAATACAAGATGGCGAAACCAATATATGACGGACGAGTTTTGTAATTTTGATTCTATTCTCTTCAAAATTTGTATGTGGGGGCTTTCGGGGTCGAAGATTATGAATCTTTCGTCAAAATTAGGAAATTCAAGATGGCGGACGAGTTTTGTAGTTATGATCCGATTCTATTCAAAATTGATATCTGGAGGTTTTCGGGGTCGAAGATTATGATTCTTTAGTGAAAATCAGGAAAAACAAGATCGCGGAACCAATATATGGCGGACTACTTTTGTAATTATGATCCGATTCTATTAAAAATGTATCTGAGGGTTTTCGGGATCGGAGATTATGATTCTTTCGTGAAAATTAGGAAATACAAAATGGCGGACGAGTTTCGTAATTATGATCCGATTCTATTCAAAATTTGTATTTGGGAGTTTTCGGGGTCGGAGATTATAATTCTTCCGTAAAAATTAGGAAATACAAGATGGCAGACAGAACCAATATGGTAGACGAGTTTTGTGATTATGATCCGATTCTATTCCACAAACAAATTCATCTCTTCATTGATTACTTTTGGAAAAGAAAAAATGTTTCTATGCACGACATATTTAATTACTCGTGTGGTTATGAATGAAAGCTGAAGACACCAAATAAGGTACCTACAATTATCACTTCAAACGATAACTCCAGTGTCATGCACATTCAAAACATGCCCAAGCTTATAGTTTAAGTGTAATAGGTAGGTGTGAGAAACAGATGTAAAAAAAACTTTCGAATCACTTCAAAATTGGTATTTATTTCAGAAAAGGTCTCAAATATAAAAATAAAGGGATTTTAGTAACATATATCTAAAATGGCTGGCTAGGTCGGAGTCACGTGAATTTCACAAGATGTTAAAAGAAAGGATTTTTCAAATCAATCATTTAAAGTACCTACGCTTACTCGTTTGACTTTCAAAAACATTCACTACGCGAAATTATTTCTTTCCCGATTTTACACATTCCTCTCAAATTTGAATGTTCTATTGCAACATTTAGTTTTTGGTATTTTTCAATTTTTTGGTATGAAACAGTTTTGTCGAAGTAACAAGTTTCAAATTACAGAAATTGGGGTGTGTATAATTTGCGGACTGGAATAAAATGCTGCGGACTGGCTATTTCCAGCAAAAAAAAATCGTTGTTTTGATTGCATATCTGGATTCAGCTTATTGAACTACACGATAAAAAGTTTCAGATTTTTTTCACTGACCTTCCTGGAGAGCACTTTAATCGTGTGTTTTTTCATATAATCATGCGGACTGGGTATTTTTGTGGGTCAAATCAATTCAATTTTACTGAAAATCAATTTTCCTCATGAGAATACACGATAATATGTTTTTGAAATTTCTCCCTAGCCTCCCTGGGGAGCACTTTACTCGTGTGTTTTTTCATAAAATCTTGCGGCATGTTTACATTCCCCTATTTCAAATATGCGATACTGACAATACTGACAAATGTGATATAATTTCTGTTGTTACCAAATTTATTTTTTTTTGTTTTGATATTATACTTTTTTTATGTTCTGGTTCCCACGAAAAGGGATATCCTGTAATGTTCAGAGAACATCGTGAGAACCAAGGGAAATAAGGTGGGAATTGGTGTTCTTCTCTCTCTCATCTATGTTAGGATGTTTTTTTTTGTACCCTATTTTGCCTATTCAAATGACGCCTCATCAGCGTCCGCAAGATTTTATGAAAAAACACACGAGTAAAGTGCTCCCCGGGGGGCTAGGAAGAAATTTTAAAAACTATTCATCGTGTATTTTTATGAGCTAAATCGATTTTTAGTAAAATTGAGTTGATGTGACTCACAAAAATACCCAGTCCGCGAGATTTTATGAAAAAACACACGAGTGAAGTGCTCCCCGGGGGGCTAGGGAGAAAACTATTTATCGTGTAAACTAATGGGATGGAACGATTTTTGAGGAAACTGAGATGATTTTACTGTTAAAAATGCCAAGTTCGCAAGATTTTATGAAAAAATACACGAGTAAAGTGCTCCCCAGAGGGGCTAGGGAGAAACTTTAAAAACTATTCATCGTCTAAGCTAATGGGATGAATCGATTTTTGAGAAAATTGAGATGATTTTATTGTTAAAAATACCCAGTCCGCAAGATTTTATGAAAAAATAAACGAGTAAAGTGCTCCCAGGGGGACTGGGAAAAAATTTCGTGAACTTTTTATCGTTTAGGTCGATAAGCTCAATCCAGATATGAAATGAAAACAACGATTTGTTCACTGGAAATAGCCAGTCCGCAGCATTTTTTCCAGTCCGCCAATTATACACACCCCAGAAAATGCGTTCAAACTTGAAACAAATGTGTAAAATCTAAATAGACACAAACTTTCCAGAGATTTTTTAAAGTGCTATAATGTTATCAGTTTTTTGCTAAGAAAAACCATGATATCAATAATTGATCATTTCGCATTTTCTATCGTCCAGTAATAGGGCAATGTGAAAATGGAATAGGTAGGTACCAAAAAATGTAGATCGCATTCTTTTAGAAAAACATCGAATCGGAAAACGAATTAGAAAATACAAGGGCGAGGCTGCTCAAATAAGTGGGACACCACTGTATATAACAAAAGGGCATTTCAAATAATTATTTGTTATACTCAATGTATCTAGGATGTTCATTTATATATTTAAAAACCTAAACCTATCTGAATAACATCAAAAAATATATTAGGGGTGATTTTTGATAAACCTCTTCCCGAAAAAGTTACACCCCTCCGAAGATGATAAAACATTTTTTTTTCGTTTTGTTTTTATTTTCCCTGTATATTAGGCTGAAAGATACGAAACTTGGTTAATATTATTTGTCATTAATGTTTTCAACCTTATATAAAGTATGCTTAGAAGGGGTTGTAATATTAATTCAACCTGCTCTTGATATTTTTTTACAACTATTTTATTGGATGAAATTTTGAAAAAACATGGCTGAAAAGCCCAATTGATTTACTAACTTTTTTATCTCTAAAAGTTATGTCGAGAACTTCAAAGAATTTGACATCTTTTTGAAAGCAAATTTTGTATCCAAGAAAAGTTGTAAGAAAAAATGTCCTAGGGGTTGAATATTTCAGCCCCTTCTAAGCATACCTACTTCAGGATTGAAAAGATTCAAATTATACGTATTTTTGAAAAAAAAAACAATAACGCTCTCTGTTATAACTTGAGGTTTGTTGAAAAAAATTATCAAAACTTACAACTAACCACAATTTAAAATCCACTGTTCGGCACGAGTATCACTAGGAACACGGAACATTTGTAAAGTTTCATTCCACAGTTGAAAAAACTACATTTATTTCCACTACGGTGGTCCTGAGGGCGATTCATGATCGTCAAAGTAGAGAATATCTGGTCACAGTGAACAATACAGCAATAACCAGATAGGTAAACATAATAATGAGAAATAAAAGAGAACAATCGAAATCACATACAACAATAATTCATTAATAAGTAATAAAATGGCAAGATATGTCCAGCCTCCAGACGCCTCCAGATTTGAAAATTATACCTGCTCTAGAGATGAAAGGAAAGGATAGGCGGCACGTGTGCGGAAGGACGGGCGAGGGGGAAGGGACGGTCGAGCGGTAGCTGTATTTGGGTCGAGCGAGAGTTCCAAAGAAGATTTGGCATACACGCATTTTGTGAGTCGGGACTGGTCGGGGATTCGGTAGTCTTCAGTAGATACGCGACGATTTTCATGAATGAATTTCACAGAGCTTCAAATGGCGAAAACGAAACTGGATTTGTGGCTCCATTCGGAGCGCGGCCAGTTTCAATACAGGCGTTGTCTATCTAGGGGAGTGTATAATGTCTGAAGGTTGTAAAACCATATGAGAGATAACAAAATATTATCACTCCCAGCTCCCAGTACCCTAAGTCAAGTTTATTCTACAGTATGTCTGAAAAAGTTGGCAACGAATGGAAAACTTTTGGATAATTAATTTAAGGAAAAAAATTTTCCTTTAAACAAAGTTCTGCAAGACCTAAAACGGAGAATGCAAATATCAGATCGAATTTTTCCAGTCGTATACGAGGTATGCCAAAAAGTATAAATTTTGCTTGAGTCAAGAGTAAAGAATTTTTATTCTTGATAATATCGAAAATTATTATGAAAAAAAGTTGTCTCGAATTGATAGTACCTTCAAATATCTAATAACACATTTCTTTGATGAAAATCATGTTTTATTATATTTTACAATTTCTGATCCATTTATATGGACATACAACTTTTGTATTATTCATTTTACGGAATTCCTCAGAAAAAGTCATGCAAGGTCTAAAACCAAGAATGCAAATATCAGATATAAAATGTTTTCACTCCTATATAAAAAAATCTTAAATACATCTTAGATGAATTAGATATCTTTGATTTTAGTCAAAGTTATTCAATAACAGTTTTTGATATTGTTGTGAATAAATTTACTTTACTCTAGAGCAGAATCAATGTTTTTGGAATACCTCATATACGACTGACAAAAAAAAGAAATCTATAATTATTGTATTTTCGGCCTTGCAGAACTTTTGATGAAAAATTACTTTTTTTATTAAAATTGATGATAAAATAGTTTTTCATTTGTTGCCAACTTTTTCAGACATATTATTGTGATTAGTTCAATTGAATATTCTTGGATATTCGAGAATTCATCACATTAATATAATATACAGGGTAGATACTTTAACTGGAATAAATTTGCTAGGTATGTTGATGGTTTTTCTTAAAATTTGCGAGACATCTCAATGTTATAATATATGAACCTACAATTTGATAGCAATATGAAGCATATAATCCTTTAGATGTAGCTGAAATCAGCTCCAACATGTTTTTTTCAAATTCCATACAGGCTTGTGAACTTGTTGGAAAGCTAGTTGAAAGAGGAATCCAGTGTACTGATCAAATATTGGTTTCTAGTGTAGTATGTTTGAGGGTTTCATGAAATCATAACATTATTTTCAAGTTCAAAATTTTTTTGGTATGATGAGAACAGCAGGTGGTAGTAATTCTGATCCAGAATCTGTTCAAGTTGGGTATATATTCAGACTGATGTCTCTTCATTCACTAATCAAACCACCTCGTGGAAGTAATGTCACTGGTGGTGAAATGATAAAGTCACTGCTTCAAGTTGGAGAGCTGAAACCACAAAAAAAAAAGATATATATTTGATGTACAATTGAATGAAGGGATATCAGAAATAGAAGAAGAGTTCGTGGAAGTTGAGGAGGCCATTGCATATTTTTGTGGCTATGTCACAAAAAAAATTAAAAGCACCACAGATAGTATACTCTGCAAACAGAGTATAACTGGACAGGGAAATGAAATATTCAATAGCTACATCAAAAACAAGAGTAGAGGATTCTCAACTTTTCCTTCAGAAAGCATTATTAGCATTCTCAAGGAAGTTGAAAAAGCTATTTCTAGTGTATTTGAAGACAAACTCACTAGAAATGCATTATCAACAATCCTCCATAAATTATCGAATTTTTCTCCAACAAAATTATTAGGCTGTCAAATGCATAAAAATATTTTCACCAGGGATATAATCAAAACATATGTTTTATGTCGATTGAGCATATTATGTTGCTCAAGAGAACAAAAAAAAGGAAAAGTGAAAATAGTTCAAGATATTCTAATAAAATGTCAAAATTACATTGATATATCATTTTCACGAAGTCAAATATTACCAAAGTCCCTGGGAGTACATCAACCGACATAAACACCTGAAGAATTCTGTAACATTTCATCAAATAAGTAATTCTTGACAGCATGCATCAACAGTACCAGTATGAAAACAACAATGCGACATCATCCGGCAGGCCGTAGAGACACGCTTGAAGATAAAACTCCCTCAAATCGAATTAGAAATGGAAATAATATAAATTTCATGAATTAACCTTCTATAATAAATCGAAAACACTTCACTGAACAAGATCAGATAGTTGTCTGTTTTTGTAGAATCCCTTTCCCGCCCTCTTATATAAAAATAATCAAAATTGAAACTTTGAGCTCAGGAATGAATTTTTCTAATATTTTGATAATAGGGTAACATAGGGTTGAAATAGATGCTACAAAATCAGACAACTATCTGATATTGTTCAGTGAAGTGTTCCACATTTATTATAGAAAATTAAATCATGAGATTCATATTATTTTCACTTCTAATTCGATTTGAGCCAGTTTTATTGACATTTTATCTTCAATTAACAACTTTCATCAAAACTTTTTATAGGAAATTGATTATACAGGGTGTCCCGAAATTACATATATACATATATGATCAGTTTTTCAGAGACGAGCATAATTTTTGACAGTGTAGTGTGTTTTCATTGAACAAATAAATGGGTAGATTCTATATGAAATTATGTAAGGAATTTTTTATCAGGAAAACTCACTTCATATCATCGTTCCTCATGCTTTTGAATCTCCACATGCGAAGAATCTCCTCATCCTGATATAACAGGATTGTCCTAATTTTCTTTCATTTTCTTGTGGTTTGGAAAAAGAAACAAGTTATACTATTTTTTGTTAAACTCACCGTTTCCCAGTAAATAATTATTCACCCTCAAAAACATATTATTTAAATGTGCCTGTTTTTTTAGAAACCCTCCATAGATGTCATATGGAAATTTTGCATATAGGGATTTAAAACCATGAAGAATATTATGAGGAAAAAAATTCCTAATATGAGTTCATGAGAAATTGACCCCTTTTCATTATAATAGAAACCCAGGGCATTGTCCAAAATTATGTTTGTTTCAGAAGAACTGATCATATCGATGATTATCCATACTGGTCCAAATTTGATAAGAATCACATTGGGAGATGCTGTATACCTACCTTTTTAAATTAAAAATGTTAAGAATATTTTGGTGCACTTTTTCACAGATTTTCATTATGCAATTTTTAGCAGTTTGACCAGGGAATATAAAAGTTTCAACATTTAGACTTGAACTCTCCATTTGTTTCATTTGCATTAACCATTTACCAGATAAATTGAGTTTAAAACTGTGAAACTTCTAAATCATGACTGCATGTAAAGCTTAAAAATTATGCTTCTAATAGACAAACATGACCAATATATGTTCAAGAATCTTGTGAGAGTTAAAGGCGGCTGCACAATTGCCCGGGAACGAGAACGACAACGGGAAAAATATTAAGCTACACATATTTTAATGTACCCATGCACAACCGATTTCCGGGAACGAGAACGAGAAGATGCCCGGAAACGAGAACTAGAAAGTTGGCCAAGTTTCAACTTTCCCGTTCCCGTTGCATTCCCGGAACCAATCGCAGCACAGATATTGGATGCCATAAAAAGAAGAAGATAACCTAGTTTAGAAACTATTCTAGTCTAGTGGATTGTCAAAAATGAATGACGAAGAATTGATAAACTTGATGGAACAATGTCCTACGACCTATACGATCGGTCTCTGAAAAATTTCAAAGACGAAAAAGCAAAAGAAAATAGCTGGATGTCCATTGCAGAATATGTGAAGTCTGATGGTATGTATGGTTATTATTCATGATGAAATGAAGCACACATTGATTTTAATAATTTTTTTGATTGATTGTAGCGGAATCTGTCAGAAAACGATGGCAGAATTTAAGAGACCGATTTGTTAGGGCTTACAGGGACTATAATAAAAAGCCTCCTTCTGGATCTGCAGGAGGGTCTAAAAAGCCTGTTGAATTTGTTTATTTTCAACAGATGATCTGGCTAGCACCCTTCTTGAGGAAACGAAAGTGAGTACCATCAAGAGGCATGGCAAAAACACACAAATAGCATAGTTTCTATGAAAAATGCCTGTGCTATTTCCATGTCTCTGAATCCAATCAATCCTAGAATGTATCAAAACACAAATTCGAAATAACCATTTATTTTATTTAGATTAACTACTTCAGTAGAAACTACTGAAAGTGAGAATATAGAAGAAGCTGTGGAGGAAACTGAAGAACTAATTAATTTAGGTGAGAATTCTCAGCCCGACCAGGAGCTTGAGGAGGTGGACATTTTTGAAGTTGGGAGAGATGGAATTCTTTCACCAACACCTTCAATTCCGAATCGTCCAGGATCTTCTCATTCACAACAGTCCACTCCATCCTTTCGTCAAGAGAAAACAAAAATACATGAGAAAATGGCAAGAGCAATTGACAGTTTCAATAAAATATGTGAGGCAAGAAATCAAACTGCCCTCCAACAAAAAAACGAAGGTGATATGAACTTTATGAGATCAATTGTAGAGGACATGCAGATACTAATACCATCTAAAAGAGTTAAATTTGAAAGAGAAATTATGGACTTGCTTGTCAAGTACATTGATGATGCAGATTATGACTAGGATATGTAGTGAATAAATATGTGAGATGTTCAAAAACTTGATATATTCTTGACAAAACTTATATTCTAAATGTGTGAAATAAACTATAATTACAAAAAACAAGCAACAATATAATTCAATCAGAACCTTCCTCTTCTTACATATTTTAATTGCCAGGCAAGTTATCATTTCTGACAATTTGTCTCCATTCACCATGAATTACTTCACCACTTTCTGTTATGGTGTCTATGAATGTAGGAGGAATATATAATTGTGACAGTTCAGTGACAGAAATTATGCAAGCATATTGTTGCTTTTACTATTGCCTCACTTGTCTTTATTGAGCATAATAGAGGGGATCTTTAAACTCTCCATCTACTATTCACTATAAGGTAACTTTTGTGCTCCAGGAAGGTTAACTTTTCCATTTTCTAGGTCAGTCCCCATTTTTGATCTTCTAAATACTCCAGCATCATGTTCAGAACCATAAGCCCCAATGTCTACCCATATAAATTTGTAGTCAGCATCACAGCATGCCAACAAGACCATACTACAATGGCTTTTATAGTTATAAAAAGTTGATCCACTATTTATTGGACATTGAAGTTGGACATGCTTTCCATCAATTGCACCAAGGGTGTGAGGAAAATTCCACCGATTTGAAAATTCTTCACTTATTCTAAGCCAATCATCTTCAGTAGGGGTTTTTACATAGATTGGCTGCAGTATCTCCCATATAGCTTCACATGTTTCTTCAATTACATTTGACACTGTAGAATGTCCAACCCTGAACTCCCAAGAGATATTTTGAGAGGATCCTCCATGAGCCAAATATTTTATAGTTATAGCTAGTCTTAGCTCTGGACTGAGCGATTCCCTTCTGCTTCGTTTCAGCAAGTTCCTTTTAACCAGAACTGAAATTCTGTTAAATTGTTCAGGTAGCATTCTGGTATATTTATAAAACATCTCATGGTCATTACTCTTCATATAGGTAAATAAATTAACAAAGGCCCCTTTTTCTTTCCTCTCTCTAAATATAGGTCTAACCCACCATCTAAAAAATATAAAATCAATGATTAATATTATTGAATATTTGTTCATACATACCTTCTATCTGATTGTAAAGTAACTGACTTGTAATAACTGTACAGAATTAGAAGAAAATACATATATAACTCCAACATCTCATCACTAATAACATCCATTATGTAGAATTAGAAGAAAATACATATATAACTCCAACATCTCATCACTAATAACATCCATTATGTTGAAAATTATTTCTAAAGTCAAGCTGACACGGTGACAGTGTTTTGAAATTTTAAAAAATAAATGTAAGAATGTCAAATATCTCTACTATTTCCGTTCTCGTTCTCGTTGTTTGTGCATCTGATAAAATATTTCAGTTCTGGTTTCCGTTCTCGTTCACGTTCTCGTTCCCGGGCAATTGTGCAGCCGCCTTTACTTGAATTGTTCACTTGAACTTCATTCTTGATTCTTCCATAATATATTTCCCTCAATCTTGCAGTATAAAGTTGATAATCCACTTCATATTTTATGTAAGGTACTATTAAATGGTTAGTTTCCTTAGTCTGAAGAATTCTACCAGCTGTATCTGTAACATTCACTATGAATGTGAAATAACACCTTTAAAACCTAATATGTAATTGATCAACTAATAATTGATTCTCAAATAGAATTATAACATTCAAGGTTGAAACATGAACAACACCTCAACATTTATATATTATGTAAAAAAGTTATGGAGGGAAGATAACCATCGATGTGATAAATCTTCGAAGTATATGTACTTACTTGTTAATCGTGAAACATTAAAATTTTTCGTCAAATTTTGTTCCAGCACCTATTATTATTGTTGTTGAACTGCTTCGTGTTGTCCAAAATCGATAGAAAAGATCATTCATCTTATAAAAAATTTCTTCTTGTTAAAATATGATTATAATACCAAGTAAATAAATAATATACACATTACACAATCTCACAATCATAACAATCTTGGAAACATTTGTAAAATCGCTTCCGTGACCTGCCACTACCCAGGTAGCACAGGTTAGTGGAATGACGTCATAATGACGTCTTTTTTAGGTCATTATTGGTCAATGACGTCCTCGACTTCAGAGGGACCTAAAAATGACGTCATATTTCATGACGTCTTATTGACGTTCAATATTGGACGTCTTAATGACGTCCCTACAAAGTCGTATATTCGACCAAATAAGAAAAATCAGTCGCTTTCTTACTTTTTCATCGTTTGTTAATTGTACGTACTAAATTTGTGTTTGTATATAGAGTGTTTTCGTGAGTACTGATGAACAAATTTATTTTCAGCCAAATTATGCATTTTTGAGGAATCTGCTGAAAACGGTCGATTTTCATTTTCAATTTGCCATATATTTATGAGAAAAATTGAATATACATACATGATGATCCACGTTTGAGTTATGACCATAACGACAATTTTTTTGGATAGAGCACCTTATATATATAGAATAGAATAGAATAGAAACTTTATTGTTTACAGAAACACGTGGTTTCATAACAAGGAGTTCATACAGTTGGGGGCAGCAAAAACTTATGACTAATACAGATATACCACCGAATTGATGCAGTGGTGAAAAAGTAAATAATCACATGATAGATTCCAAAAGCGAGTAGGAAGAAAATAATAAGAAAGAACAAGAAACAAAAAAAAAGTATATATATTACTCAATCTTTGGAATAACCATGGGAAGCGGAATTCGAAAATGTTTAACAAAATCATGTGGATTGTATAGGTAAGTGCGTCCAATAAATTAGATGCTCTCGTGAAGTAGTGGAAAAATCCATTATTATTCAATATCTATCTATCTTATATATTTCTGAGAAAACAGGAGAGGCTTTTATTTCTAATTCGTCATTTATACGGAGGAATCATCAAATATACAGGATGATACACGTTTGTATTATGACGTACACGACACATTTTTCAAACGGATATATATTATTGAATTTTCGTAACCAAATGTATATCGCACAAAGGGTTTGTATACAGGGCGTTCGTTAAATTCAGTTCTCTCGTAAAATTGGAACGCCATTAAAATATATAGATGACGTAATTTCTCCTACACGAATCATTCTGTATATATTGATTTAATATGAGATAAAGCTTGAATGAAAATAAAATTCTACGGCTTCGAGCATTATTCTCTGAAAAAAAAAAAAATGTTTTTTTAATTTTCAACAAATTTATTCGCAACTTCGCAAAAGAACTTAATTCAACGAACGCACTGTATACAGACTCATATATTTTTGAATCCAGCTTTAAATAGAGACTCCAAAAATCGAATAATTTATAGGGTGTTCCTTTGAAAAAATGGTCGTGGACGTTTCAACTCAAACTTGAATCACCCTGTATATTCAATTTTTTCTCAATATTGTTGGTAATTCAAAATAAAAATCGACCTATTTTGGGAGATTCCTCAGCAAGGAATGGTATGGTTATAATAGTACATTAATTGCATATGGCTACTTTATTTTCTTCACGCGAAATGACTCAATTTAACGGACACACTGTATACAAACCCTATGTGTAATATATTTTTAAATTCAGATTTCCATGAATATTTCAAAAATTGAATGTATCTTATATAGGTTATTATTATTGTTTCCAATTGAAAAAATTGCCGCGGACGTCTTAACTTAAACGTGGATCACCCTGTATATATATGATTCTTATTTTCAAATGTGGCAAATCGGAAATAAAATCGACCTGCTGCAGAGGATTTTTCAGAAATGGATAGTTTAGCTAAAAATAAGTTTATTAGCTTACATCTCGCCGACGCTCGCTACATAATTTTAGGTACAAATACGAGTAGCTAACAATATTCTCATATAGAGATTCATAGGTAGTAGCGATAGCGCTAGGATTCAACAGGACTGCCCGGGAGGACCATCAACCAAGTTACTACCACAACGTATAGTTACAAAATGAATGTCAGCAAAGGTTTGTGGTGTATTAATCAGTATGTACCAATAATACTACCGTATATATATAAACCTCCTAATTTTTTTTTATTCGTCCTTTATTGGTCATTCTGCGACGTCATTATGACGTCTAAGTATGACGTCATATGGCTGTGACATTTTGACGTCATTATAGGATCTCTCAGACGTCATTTTTAGACGTCCACTTCGTCATTTTATGACCAAAAAATGACGTCAATTGGACGTCACTCTGCTACCTGGGTAGTGCCAATCCGCCATTTTAATTGACGTACGCCAGCGTTGCCACTTCGACATTTGGTAAAGTTTCATAGATTCGCAAGCCTATACGGCAATGTATACGCTGTGCTGCTAGAGGATATGTAACATATCGTGCCGGCTTTCGGTCCAGGAGGCGTAGCATACGACTTTTCCTCATCCTACAACATACTAGAAAAACAGGTTTTGTACCACGACAACTCGATAGGATGCATATTAGAAAAACAGGTTTTGTACCACTATAACTATAGTATTCATACTAGAAGAACAGGTTTTTACAGCTTGATAGTATTCATACTACGAAAACAGGTTTTGCACCACCATCATTCCAGTCCTAATTCGAGAAAAACAGGTATTGTGCCACCTTAACTCGAACGGATTATCATAAAAGAAAAACAGGCTTTGTGCCACTATGGAAAAACAGATTTTGTATCAATGAAAAGAGGCCTTGGCCAACTATTAGTCTAGTGTGGGGTCAAATGGGGAGTACCCATTTGATAGTCCCGGATAGATTCACGAATCGCACTAGCAAACTCTACCAACCTGTCCCTGCTACGCCACTGTGGGGAGGAAATTTCTTGGAGAGAGGTTCTTACGATAGGTACTCTACGAGTACGTACACATTGATTTAGAAGAACCCCCTGCTACGAACCATTGACCTATATTCACTACCTATAATTCCTACGCAAATGTACTGGAGTTTACAATCGCTTGTCTCCCGTACGAGGAAAATATGATTTAAGTAAAATGAATCTGTTTAACCTTTCTATGTGTTTCATTTGCTACAATTTTATTGAACTTCAAAAGAACAAGTGTTAAACAACGGAAAGTGGGGTCCTTACCAAAATTTCATTAA